CACATTATTAAATTAAATATTAAATTTTCACACTTTCACAATTTGAAAAACCAATTTTAAATTGCAACGCTTCCATTAATTAAAAAATTTAATTCAACACAATTTTTATTACAAATATTTAATTGAAATAAGAAAATGCTCTTGTTTTATAACAACCGTTATATGTACATGTTAAAGCTTGTTTCTTCCAAAATATTTTAAAGTGCACTAGTATTTCCAACTCTTTCTTGCTCAATTTACCATCATTAGTTACAAAATTTTAATTTTTTCTCTTTCTAAACCCTATTTCTTTCCATATAAATTCTCTTTAAGATATTTTTTATATATTCACAAACATCTAACATTTATTTAATTCTATCGAATTTTTTTAATTCTATTGCATTTATTTAATTCTATAACTGAGCTAATAAAAATAACTTAAACAGGCACTTTCAAGTTTTAATACAATTAGTACTGTATAAGTTTTTGATCAAGTGTCAAATTCAAATTTAAAATGAAACCAAATGTTAATTGTCAGTCAGTGAATATTTGTTACTGTCAAGAGGAGAATGTTTATATTGGTGCTACGAAATAAGAAAATGGTATATACTATTTTTCCTCAAAAATTTTAATTTAAAATGAGAATTATAAGTTTATCAAAGAAAATGAAAATGCTAAAAAAATAATCAGTCTTATCATGAATTTCATTCGTAGCTCCGAAATTCGAAAAATTACGAATTGAAAAAATTCTGTTAACTTTACAAAAAAAAAAACTCAAAAACGTTGAAAAAAACTGCAAAACTCCGTTTTTCAAAAAGATCAAAGAAATAAAGTACTTGTTTTGGCATTATAAATAATTGTGTTGCCATTGCTGATTCTAATTTAATTATATTATATTATTATATATCTCAGAAACTATAAAAGCTGTGATGTCGTATATGGATAAAAAATTTCGTACTGGTATCACAGACTTGACACGGTCAACTCTATTTTTTCTCGTTTCATTTTGAATTTCTTTTAATAGTTTTATTTTTTCAACAATATTCAAGGTTTTCAAATCAATATTATTTAGTTTATTCTTTTGCAAATATAGGTGATTCCGAAAAAAGCAAAAAATTCATTTAAAATTCATTACATTAAAATAAAAAAAATTATTAGTTTTGACAACGCTGTATGTCTGCTGTTTGCAAGTTGTGACAATATGCGTAATAGAGTGTATTCATCTACTAAGAAATAAAATGATTGCAGTTTTGTAGAAGAAGTGTCAGAATTATATATCTCTCAAAGAAAAAGAAAATTTCCACTTAAGCGAATAAAAATTCATATAAAAAAATTTTTGGTAATGAAAATTTTTTGTACTCATATAAAATTGTAAATTTATGCGTATTGCATTTACCCGAGCTAATTCGGGAGAACTATATACGAGGAGCTAATTCAAAAGAGCTACATATATAGACGGTACATGCATAGGTATTAAAAAGTTGATATTAAGCATGTTCTACCGTAACATAACGATTGACTTCAAATAAAATGTCAAGAAGGTATTATTAAATATTATCATGTATTGTAAAAATTCTATGCAAAATGATTTTATCTGTCGACTTGTGAAACGTCGTTTTCAAAGTTGTGACACATAGGTATGACTAATCAATTAACTTGACTACTAATAGGTGACGACTTTTAAATTATATTAGCAAAAAAAGGTGCATAATATGTGCATAATTTCGTTTGTCACATAATTTCGTTAGTTTTTCTTGTTTTGAAATTATATTTTTCAATTGAAAAAATTTTTAAGAATAATTATCAATATTTGATTTTGATTGAAATTTTCAAATCGGAGCCAAACTACAGCTATGCTCATTAATCCAAACTAGATAATTAATAAACATTATTACCGGTTTTTTAGCGATCTTCAACTGTTTTTTTTGTCTCTCTTCACATTTTGCTCGCAAGTCGCAAATTTTTAATATTTTAAGAATATATTTTTCTCTTTTTAGTACATAAAGAAATTCATTGCTACTGTCTACATTAAAATCAAAGTATATCTACCGAAGAAATAGTTCGACTCCCCGTTTAATGCAATCGCTCACCAATATTTGTATACAAAAAATTCCCTTAGCTAAAAAAGAGTTAAGCTGAATGCCTTCTTATTTTCATTTTTATACATATAGGAATTTTTCGAGAGAGAAAGAGTATGCAATAGATGTCTACCTGTTTTTTTATAATGTTTTTTTAAAAGTGGGAGTTATTTATTTTTTCGTATATAAAGTATAGGAAAATATATTAAAAATTTTGAAAGCGGGAGTTTAATTTCTATAATTTATTCCACTATAAGGTAGCAGAAATGGTGTATCCATATTATAAAAACGAAGCGATTTAAAAACAAAATTTGACAATTAAAATAAAAAAAAAATTATAATTTATATGCATACGATTATATGCAAGACAAATAACATTAAGAAAAAATTTAAAATTTGTAATTACTAATTATCATTACATTTATTGCAATAAATATAAACTATGAAATTTTTATTTCAATTTTGTTTTTAAAAATTTAAAACAAATATTTCTTATGAATATATATACACACTTGTATCGGTAACACACACGCATTTTTTTTATAAATTGCTTAATTTCTATACCTCGTCTATATTGCGGCTTTAAAGTGAAATCAACTCGAAACCTAAGCTGCGTTTTTACTATATTAGCTTAAGCCCGAAAACGACGTTTATCAAATCATTCATATTTCATGTCAAGTAAGCCACTTGAGTGAAGCCGGCTTCAGGTCAAGTAACGTTTATATAGACAACAATTAACTTGAAGCAGCCATATAAACGGGGTACATACATATTATTACATCATATTGTGTATCTACCTTGAATTGGTTTGTACCGTATAACAAGGTATGAAATTTTAAATTTATAAGTCTTGCTTTCACACATTCGAATGTTTTTACCTAACTTTTATGAAATGAAAAATAAAATATTTTCTTGCTTTCTTGCCTACACAATTCTTATTACCAAATTATCTTATTATTATCTATATCTAAAGTAAAATGAAATATTTTAAGATTTTGGAAGTGGAACGAAAAATAACGGAATGAAACGAGCCGAACTACTTCTTAAGTAGATATACTTTGATTAAAATATTTTGGAAGAAACAAGCTTTAACATGTTTAACGGTTGTTATAAAACAAGAGCATTTTCTTATTTCAATTAAATATTTGTAATAAAAATTGTGTTGAATTAAATTTTTTAATTAATGGTGGAAGCGTTGCAATTTAAAATTCGTTTTTCAAATTGTAAAAGTGTTGAAATTTAATATTCAATTTAAAAAACTGGATTTGTAAAGTTAAATATTGGATTTTTAAAATTAAATCGCTTTGATTCAAGGTAAGAAGATTTAAAGTTTTATAATTAAAATTATGAAATATGTATATTGTTGAATTTACATACATACACATATGTACATACATATATAATTAGAATCCACTTATTTGAGTTTTAAAATTCAAAAACTTTCTGGATAATGATTATTACATTTTCAATTTGAAATTTGAAGTCGAAGTCATTATATTATAATACGTGTATATGTACATACTGTGTGAATGTATATGTACATAAAGTACTTATTGTGTAAAAAAAATTCTTCTTCTTTCTAGTTTCGCTAGAAGAAAATTTTTTTCCACTCCCATCCACTCTCATGTTAAATTATTTTTTTAACTCACGTAATTAACTCTTAAGGAACATTATTTTAACGCTTCTTTAATTTTTTTTCGGTTTATTGCAATGTATTCAACATTGCTCATCCCAAAGGTAAGCGATTTTTGAAATACATACATACATACATATGTACATATATTCGTATATGAATGAAAGTAATTTTAATAATATAGTACATAGCTAGATTGTTGTAAAAGCGCTGTTTTGATTCAACTTAATTTAATTCCAATTTACAAAGAAAAGAAGAGGAAAAATAAACTTTAGGCAAACACAAACGATTAACATAATTTTTAGTTAATTTTTATTCGTTTCTTACAAGCTTATCTAACCCTCTTTCTTCCTTCAAACCTCCTGCTTCCATTGGAAATATGTATAAAAGCAAAATTTACAATAAAAAAAATAATTTTGATCTACAAAACGACAAAAATTCGACATAGTCAATCAGTAAATATAATTTTTTTCAACACTACGTGCGCAAATGCAATACGAGTATTATACTGTAGATGTACGATAATCTTATGTGATATGCCGGCTGCATATAACAGACTTATTCAACTTGTATATGAAAGCATACTTATCAAGTTATTTGGAACATTCCAGTAGAAATATTTTACAAGGCGTTTAAGGTATTAACTGCATTTACAACTTAAATTGCAAATGATATTAATTGGTTTTCTTATAAATATAAAAATTAAATTGTAAATTAAACCTTTAATTGTATTCTTATGTATGTAATAATTTAATTGTATTTTTTTTTAATTGATGTAGGCAGGTACTAAAGTTTATTAAGACTATTTTTCATTATTTTCACAAATTTCATTCAAAATAATTAATATAGATATTTTTATGGTAGGTTCTTTCACGAGACAAATTAAAATTAAAAAATAACTCACTTAATCTTTAATATATAAATAAGTATGTTTTGTAACATCTTTAATATATATCAGAGAAGGGACAGAAAAATTTTTGAAAATTATTAATTATGGGCAATGAAAAATTGGCATGAAAACAGAATCATACAATATTTTGTTAATTCTTGTCTTCCCATTTACATAACTCCCTTTTACGTTATACAAACTAATTTATATTATTGGGTTCGTTTAACTGGCTTCAGCGATCTAATATATGTTCAATGTAGAAGTTACAACATAATTATAATTTAAATAGCCGTTTAATTCGAATAAACGTCTAATTTTTTTTTCTATATTTCTTATATTTTATTAAATATGAATATATATATATATTTTTTATTTTTTTTTTATTACATATATATAATTTTATGTGCAATGTTTGTCTTACCTTTAATCCTTTGGCACGATTAATTGCTCTTAATGGTCTCAATACACGAAATACACGCAAAATTTTAACAACAGAAATTGCACTCGAACTGTAGGTATATGAAATTTTTAATTTTATTATTGATTAATTGAAGATGTAAAAATAATTAAGAAAAAACTTACTCAGCAAAAATTGATGTTAACGAGACACAAACGACTAATAAATCTAGCATATTAAAAGCTGACCGACAAAATGCTCCTTTATGTAATATAAAACCATAAGCAATTACTTTTAAACACAATTCAGTAGTAAAAACAGCGGTAAAAAAATAATCAAAATAATTTAAAATCTGAAAAAAAAAACCAAAGAAGAATTATTTCTATTTAAATCTATAATTTCATCGTAAATTTGTATATAGTAATGTATGTATGTATGATCGAAATATAATTAGCTAGAAACACATATTCTCTCCCCTCCCTCTCTCCGTTAGTTAAACATTGCGATAATATTGTAAAACTTACAAAATTTTATTGCAATTTTTTAAGTCAGGGATATAAATATCAATTCAACTCATTCAATATAACATTAGAATTCTATTTTGCTGAATTAGCTAAGTTGTTATTAGCTAAGTCACCACTTTTCTTAAAAAATAAATCTCTTTATGATTTGTTGAAACTTATTAATTTTAATGATTTCTGTTTTATAAATTTATTTCTATACAGATATACAAACCTTATTTCGCGGTGAATCGGCTTTTAGAGGGTCTTCTGCCGCTAACATTGCTGATGAAAACATAATACTTGCCAAAATTATATTACCAAAATAACTGTGATTACATAACCAGTGACAAAATATTCGAAATCTTTTGTATATTATTGTATTATTGTAAAACATTGCAGCATTGGGTTGAAAAAAAAAAAGTAAAATTTTTTTTTAAATTAAATGGTGATAAAAAGGAAGGAAGAAAAAAAATTTTTTTTTTGTAAATTAAAAAATATATGGATACATATACATATACATTCATATACATAGGATATGCACCATTTACAGTTTCCTTTTTTGTGAATTTCTATTTAAATTATCAAATAATGTTATGGCAACGCGCTTTGCCTTCTAAATCTATGTTTAATTCAATTTATTCAGCACAAAACAATTTTAAGAAAACAAGCCCGAATAAATCAAATAAACTTTTGATTTGCATTCAAGTGTGCCATTGCCTAACATGCGGTTTATATTTTTTTATAAATTTAATGTTAAAAAGAAAATCATAGATGGACCTAGATTACACCCTTGTATATAAATATATTGTATTTTCTATAAATTTTTTAAATACAAAAAGTAAAAAAAAATTTTTTTTAATAAATTAGTAAAAAAGGAACTTCTAATCTACCTTAGAAATAAATTTAACATTAAAAAATATTTTTATTTAATAAAGTAAATTAGAAATAAATAAACAAAAGGAATAAAATTATAAACGAAAATGATAAAATTTTAAAATATTGTGTAGATGGTAAATAATGGGAAGATGGGTTGTTACGGGGTCTGGGTGTAGGATAGGAGGAGAGAAGAGGGAGTCTTTGAATAATTAAACTAAATTGTAAAGGAATGAATTTATGTTGAAAAAAAAAAAAAAACAATTACAAAGTTACAACTTATATAATAATAATTGTATGGGTGGCATGTAAATAACGTACAAAAAACATGCAAACAAAAATGTAATAATAATTGAATATAAACGGCAACACTGAAGTTATTATAAATTTAAATACTTATTGGAATTACATAATTATAGCATTCTTTTTTTTGTGTAGTTAAACAAAACTTAGCACATAAATAATATTAATTACAAACTAGTGTATTAAGTTCAACATTTAATAAATAAATTTAACAATTTTTTTTTTACAAATTTTTTGTGATTTTATTAAAATTTTAAAACTAGGTTCGCATATTATATAAACATATAAATAATACTAAATAGCAATTAATGTCAAATTAAAATTAAAAATGTTTGATTTTTTTAAAATTCTTTTGGATTGCATTAAAAGATGGCAAGAAATTTACAATAAAACGGGGTTTTAATACGCAATTTAATTTTTAGATTTGTAGTTCAGCTAGATAATATTGTAATATACACACTTTGTTTTCTAAAATACACAAATTAAAACTTTTTAATCTGAATTGTTTTAGTGTAAATAAAATAAGTATGTAATTTTAATTGCTGAATAGATAAAATTAACGTTAAATCTGAATTTTTATAGACGCCTTCATTATAATGCAATTTTAACATCAAACTTTTTCTATGATATTATTTTGATATTTTAATTGATTTTAATTTGACATTTTTAATTTAACAGCTTTTAATTTAAAAAACAAATAATAAAATTTAAACAAATGATTAAAATTTAGGATTTTCTTATTCTTTTTTTTTTATTTTTTAAATTAAATATTGTATTTAAACACATATTTTGAAGCAAAGAGTGACATTTAAATGTATAGATATAGTTAAGAGACAAAATCGCTGGGAAAATAACTACAAATTTCAATAAAGGAAGCATAACAAAAAATTATCTGAGTAAATCAAGATTAAACTGACGTGGCCAAGATTTTATTCAATATTTTAATAAAATTTAATATTTTTTATAATTTGCTATAAAAGAAATTACTGATGATCATTTGAAATCTTATTTAAGTTGATAAAATATTAATATAGAGATGAGTTTCGGTTTCGTAATGCTTAAAATAAATACTTATATAGTATATACGCTTAAAATTTTTGAAATCTTTTAAGACTGGAAAAGTGGAATGGTTGGTTAACCACCATAATATTCTAACTTTAAAATGGTATTAATACACAATCAGCTAACAAAATTGAAATTGCTGAATTTTGTATTAATTCTGTATTACTGCACTTTTGACATTGTGAATGAATTTAATATAAGTTAGTTAATGATTTAATAATATATTTTGTGATTTTATAAATGCAGTAATATTGCATTATTATTTACACAAATGAGCAATTTACAACTAATAAATTGAGTATTGTATATTAATACTGTGTATTGATCCCGTATATTATTTTGATGTCAGAGATAATATATTACATATATGTACATATATATATATATATATATATATATATGTAAATAAACTACATATTGGAATATATTATTGTAATATTATTATTGCAAACACAAATTAATTCATACCAACAAGTCGATAATAAAGTTTTTGAAGTTTTTACTATAAATTTCTCTATCACTTAGTGATTCACTATTCAGAATAAGCCCAATTATATAAATAGTCGCTTGTGTATTATGTATTCTACGCTAAAATATTCAGAATATTCTATATATATATATATATATGTATATATATATATATATATATTCAAAGTAAGATTAATACTAAATTAGTGCTTTCCATTTATTTCAAAAATATGTGTGATTTTACTTAAATAAAACTATTTTTATATATATATGTACATATTTATATATAAAATATCAACTATGTATACAGAATATGCTTGTTAAATAAAATAATATTAATTTAAAATGACTATATTTATATTGAACCAGATCTCGGGAACCTTTAATTTGGGTATATCATACAACAGTACATGAATTCTAACATCAAGTGAAACATTATATACCACACTAATAATAAACCGAATTGATTTTATAAATTTTTTAAAATTCATTAATTTAAAAACAGAAATAATTAAGATTGCCGACACCCGATACTGATTATATAATTTTTATATTTTATATAAAAATTATAATGACTTTAAAATTTTATATACAGTTATTACACTAACAAGAAGTATAAAGTATATGTTTTACTTTGACAGATCCTTTTAGAAAATAAATTTAAAGGATTGTTGATGTTTTTTTTCTCTATTTGGCTGACGTTTTTGACGTTTTTTGCTCATATATTTATTTGTAAAAACATTTCTTTTTTCATTTTGTAAACAAAAAATTTAAATAAAAATTATATTCTGGGAGAAAAATCTACAATTATAGAAATTTATAAATTAAAAAAAAAATTAAAAGCATTAAAATTTTAAAAATAAAATAGGAGAAAAAATGTATATACGTCTTTAAGACAGTAGAGTGGCACAAGTCGAAGTTATAGACTCCTGTTGATAGGAGAAGACTCAATTTTATAGTATTATTAAGCCAGAAGGTCGGTGTAATGCAACACTATCTGTTCTGCGCTGATCGATCTCCACGACATACTAATTTTTTTATACCTATACTATTTGCCTAGCAAATGTAACAATATTTACCGTTATTAAGTAAACTTTATAAGTCTATAACACAAATTTTTTGATTATTAAAGCTTAATTTGAGCAATAATTGTGATCTTAAAATCACAAAAATTACAAAGTATCACTAATAGTTCAACAACTACAAGTTATAAGCTGAATTGTTTAGTAGTAACAGTAAAAATTAAATTTGGATTTCCGGAATGTGTTTTCTTAACATATACAATTACAGCACATAATTACACTATCATTTACTTACAACTTCGACCAATATAAAAAGGATATTGAAAGAATTTTTAAATTTCTTTTTGTTTTAGAAAAGATAACACAAAACAATGAAGAAACCGTATATAGTAATATATTTTTCAATTAATATTATAAAAAAATCTTAAGAGGCCAGCCGATTTCTTAAGGAAGAGGTTAACACGCAAGTATAAGGTTACAATGCCACATATTTGATTTTAAATAAAAACTTTTTTTTTTGTATGGGTAAACTGATAATAAATTATTGGTAAATACACAAAAACTAAAAAATAAAAAAATATAAAAAAGATAGCAATAATTAATAAAACAAAGGAAAAGTAGAAATAAAAATTAATAAAATTAAAAAAAAACCTTAGGTTCCAAAAATTGCAATTATTACGAAAATAGTAATAAAAAGAATTAAGAAATTTTAAAATTTAAGTCGAATTTTAGCACAGCCTCGTGCTTGAACTGAAACTGAATTAAATTGAATTTAATATAATAAAATTGTGTCACAATTCACAGCATAATTTTGGAACATAAAGTAACTTACAATGATAGATCAAATAATTAAAATAATAGAATGGAATAGTCAACAAATATAAAGTAAAAAAATATATTAATAATAATATTGATAGTAATCCAAAGCCTCTTTATTATCAAGCCCCACTTGACTATTGACTGTATTATGAGGAATCTTTAAAAGTTTTGGCATTTAAACTGCAACAATTTTTCGTTTTGCATAAAGAAAATTCATATCGTTTAAAGTAGTTGTAAAATTTTTTTATAAATTATTTAAAGTAATTTTATATTGATTAGAAACATTGGAACAGAAATAAAACTGTAAATAATAAAACATTATCTAAGGTAAATCATAATTCATCAAAAATTAGAGTAAATCATTATTCATATAAAACTTTGCTTTAGAATTGTTGATAATATTTACTATTACAATTCAATTTACAAGGTTTTTACTGTAATTTCTGAGTTGTGTATAATGTCAATAGTATTCTTGTCGGCTTTAAGAATTGGAACTTCTAAATTTTTTCATACTACTCGTATTTCGAATTGTATAGAATTAGAAATTAAAATTAATCAATTTTTAACTTGCAAAGAGTAAGGGATTCTCTATGTATATATTCCAGTTGAGAAATTAAAATAGCTTTTCGAGCCAGAAATTAAAATAGCCGAAAAAGAGAAGAAAAATCTTAAAATTTAATTAAACCAAATTGAAGAGGCTGGTGATCAGGCTTGTAGAATAGAAAGGCATTTGGATATTTTTATGTATGTAAAAGAAACAGGAAGAACAAAATAATAATGATAATTAAAAAAGTACGGATAATTAAAAAAAGACAACAAGAAAAAAAAATTAAAAATTGTTTTAGGGTTAAAACATAATTTTTTTTTCTTTTCATTAACAAAAAAAAAACCTGTTCTTTTGAGCGAAGACGAAAAAAGATGTGCCTTCTGGTATTGGTACAATTTTTTCAGGTGGATCATTTAATTCTGACATACGTCTAGGCCTTGCTGAACGTTTTCCTTTTTTTGGTACTTCTCCATTAATATCAACATCTTCTTCTTGCTCTTCTTCTATCATTTCATCTTCCATATACATCGTTTCATCAAAATTATTTTCATTATTATTATAATTATTCTGATGGCCGCCGCCGCCACCTTTTTTTTTTTTTAATTTATGTTTTTTCATTCAAATTTTGAGCATTTTATTAATTATTATTGTTTTGTTTATATATGCATATATATTTATATAAGTACATATAAAAATATATATAAATGCGGTTTTGTGTTTAATATAGTGAATGATCGGCAAATTATTTAATAGTGTGGGTGGTGTGTTGGTGCAAACCCAGGCGTTTTTTCAATTTATTATTATTGTGTATTTGTTTTTTTTTGTGTTTAAATTTCAATTTTAATTGAATGGAAAATTAAAATTAATTTAAAAAAAAAAATTTGTATATATAGGTGTCGTGCGTGTAGGTGAGGTTTAAAATAATTATAAAAGTAATAGGTATATATAAATGTATAAGAACATATAAGAGAGAGAAAGAGAGAAAGAGAGATAGAGAGAACAAATCAAAAAAGGAATACAAAAAATAACAGAAGCATATATATGAATATTGTATAAATTTTTGAGAGGGAATAGAAGAGGGGAAGAGATAAAATGTACCCCGCCCCCCTCCTCCTTTCTACTTCCCAACCTTTTTTATACTAATATATGTATAACAGGTATAAGAAAGTTAATTTAAAAATGAAATCAGAAAAATAAAAAATTTTCAAAATTAACTGTAGCAACATTACAAAAATTAATAAAGAATGTTGGACTTGGACATTAGCATTGAAATTGTCTCGGAAAATTTTCAACCCGACACAATACCAAATAAAAAACAACTTAGTATACCATATGTGATAACTTTTCAATGTTGGGACGATGATATTAAAGATAACAATGTGAACATCGTTTAATAATCATACTTAAATATTTTTACTTAAGCATATTTTTTCGCTTTTTTTTTTGAGTTTTGCAAATTCAAAAATAAAATGAAATTTATCCAGCCCTTTATTTTTATTTATTGTGTAATGTTTCGTGTTAATTTGAATTAAGAATTAAAAAAAATAATATGATTAAGTTATTATAAGCTATATTATGTATAAATATATACACAAGATGTTTCGCAAAACGTGGCAAATACGTTAATTTCAGATATAATTTTTTGATCAATTTCCCTTAAATATTGTATCGGTGGGGTGGCGGGTTTGTGAAGATATACTAATTTTCGAGCTACGGCCAGTTGAAAAAAAAAGTACCAGGTTCTTTCTTCATATAAATGAATGCATATATAAATAACTTTGGAACCATGCGACATAATGTAACCATTGGCTGCTCGTTTTACAGTTGAGTTTTCTCTTGAATCTTGAAAATTGTTGTTCAGAAAAAATTGATTGTCAGACCAAAAATAAAGAGCAATCAACCATCTACAAAAGATGGACCCAATGGTTATTCTGTGCCGCATGGTTTCGAAGTTGTAAGCATTTATTTCTTTACAGGAAAAATCTGGTACCTTTTTTTCAAAAGAGGCAACATCAAAAACGAATATATCTGCACCCCCACCACCCAAACAATTTTTTGCTGGAAATTGATCAAATCCTTGAATTATCCTTTAAATTATTTGCCACCTTATACGAAACACCTTGTGTATATATTATAAGATTATATCAAATTAAAAATACCATTTACAATTAAAAAAAAAAAACATTTTTATATATACAGAATTTCTTTGGGCCTTTATATAATTGTTATAATATATGAGTGGTACACATACAAAATTTTACTGTACATATTTGTGTTTCCAAAAAAAAAAAAGAAAAATCTTTAAAATTACCAACATTAAATCCATAAATTTTTGCTCTGACTTCAAAAATGTTAGAAAATGTGGTATTTAAACACAATTCAGCTTATATAAGCTATAAGTGCTGAATTGTGTAATGATACACATTCAATATTTACTGCAATTTTGAAGTCAAAGTTTACTTATTTATTATTACGGATTTTGATTTTAATTCTCATATACAATAATTTTATGAAAAAAACTTTTACATTATAATTATATAAATAATATTATACATAAACAATATTCATTAACATCTATACTTATATGTATATAACTAAAATTCAATTAAATAAAAATTATAAAATATATTATTAAAATTTTAAAAACATTCGATTTTACGGAGCGGGGGGAGGTGTAAAAAAAAATCTATTTTAAAAATATTTTGTACTATATAGAGGATCAAAATATCAGGCAGTTGATAACATAAGTTTCAATATACCATTATAAAGAACTAAAAATTTTAATAGTAAGGTTTTATAAAATAACAAAAGGGTCTCCCATATAATCGTTACAAATACAATAAGGAGGTTTTCGTTTATGCAGCTCTAAAATAGTACTAGCTTGTAGTACTTTCGAAAATTCATGCTACATACACTGGAAATATAGATCGTTCGGAAATTACTGCCTGCAATAAAGTGCGTTCGAAAATTCAATCTGCAATAAAGAAATGTAACGCAGACCTCTATTATAAATTCAAAAAAAATTTAAATTTAAAAATAGCAGCTTCATATATTGAAGAGTTATTGAAATAAGTTTTTTTTAAATCTTCAAATCTTGTTAAAATTTCATTATTTTGTAGTGAATTGGAAGGCAAAAAGAATTGGGACAAAATTTCATAAATAATGTCATTTCTGTCATTTTCGAACGACTGATTATTTTGAAGTTTCAGAATATGTAGACTGTGTAAATAAAAAAACTTAGCTAAAATTGTTGCATACTGTTTAACGCTGTGACTTAGAAATTTTAGTTCTAACATAGAACTTTCAGCGCAGCGTGCATAAACGAAAACCCCCTAATTTTGCGTTACTATAGCTACATTACTATATGTGTCATTTGTTAAATTTTTCCGTATAGTAATACAATTGTTAATGTATTATAAATATTGGAGGATATTTAATAACATATGAAGAATATATAAAAGAAAAAAAATCATTTAAATTTTTTTTCTGATTTCAAAACTGCAGCAATATACGGTATTCATACACAATTCAGCTGATAAATTGTAATTGCTGAATTGTGTATCAATACAATGCAATTTTAAACGCGGTAACTTACGCTCGATTTTTTTTCAATACTATGACATAACAGATACTATGATATACGTATACATTTTTCTGTTTAAATCTTAGTTATGCTTATTCAATATTATAATTATAAGTATATTTTAAGAAAATAAAACCTTAATTTTAAATTTGTAATAATAAAAATGAAAAAGAGGGCGGGGGGTGGGGATTTGATGGGATCGAAAGGTTTTTATTATTAAAGATTAAATAAAACTTTAATTTTTTAGTTTTTGGATTTTTATGTTAAGCATTAGTTTGATTACCTGTTTTTATAGGAAAATAAAAATAGTGCACTGCCTTTTGGTATCGGTTTCTTAACTTTCTTAATGTTGATTTCTGATATTCGACGAGGACGTGCTGTTACTTGTTCTTGTAATTCATCTAATAAATTTTTGTTTATGTTTGTTTTTGTTTTATTTATATTGTTTATTTTTTGTTTTATTTTTTTTTTTCAAATTTTTTATATAGTTTCAAAATATTGTATGTATGTCAATGTATATATGTTAATGTATGTCATATGTATATTTGTTTCTAATTTCATTTTATATAAAATATTTAGGATTTCGAAATGGAAAGCTAAACATACCCTGATATCTATATTATAATTATATTAAATTTATTATATAATTTAGCAATATATGAGCTGAATTGTGTCTTAAATCAAAAACAATAAAAATAAGAAAAATCAATGAAATTTTATATAGAATTTTGTAGCAAAAATAATGTTCTTTGCATGTCACGTACAGAAACAAATAACATTATGTATAAAAACCCTGAATTTGCAGTAATACTTGCATTACTAAACAATTCAACATAATTGTATCGGAAATAAGGTAGAATAAAACGCAATTAACTTCTATATAAAAGAAATAAAATTGGATCAAACCAATGGTTTGTAATAGCACCCTTCAACAAGTGAAAATACTGTTTTTAAAAGCAATATGTGTTCTATATTATAAAAATAAGTTTCCTTCATACACGAATATGTTTCAAAGATTTTCTTTGAAATAAAACAAAAATAAATTTAAAGAGGCTTTAATAAAATGCTCGAATTTAAGGGTTAATTGTCAGAGTTAAGAAAAATAATTATTAAAAAATAAATTTTAGTTAACGGTAAATTTTAACGGCCATTTTGTTTTTGTAAAGTTTAAAAATAGTATGCCGCTACTTTTTTGCGTTTGCAGAATTTAAAAAATGTTTCTGGTTTTGCTACAATAATTACTTGAGAAATGGCCTTTTTAGGACTTTGAGAGGTTATAACTTTTAGAAGGGAGGAGATAGGTAAAAATTTTCTTTTACGGAAATAAATTTCTAGTAAAGATCTATGTACATATGAAGTTTCAGAAGAATGTAAAAGTTTTGTAAACATGTCCACGGACGGACGAACGGACAGAGTGAAACCAAAAAGCACTTTTTTTTAATTTTTTTGGTAAAGTGCTGACAAATAAGATATTTGGAACAAGAATTAAAAATATTTGACTGTTTGACTCTCCATTATCGAAATAAAAAAATTTTATTTGTATAGTATTGTGTAGAATGAAAATGTAAATATGTGTATAGTATTGTTTATATATATATATGTATATATATATACTTGAAATAATTTTGATATATTGTATGTATGTAATTTATTCAAAATATTGGACATTTTTATAAACACTTTAATTTTGTTTGAAATATGACAAGAAATGAAATGCGCATATTTCCAAAAATATGCGAAATTGTATTGTATAATTGAATTATATGTATGTAATTCGTAAAATAAAATTTCAAGTGTGACATAAGTCACAAAAACGGTTAATTATAAACCTAAAAATTTCATTAATTAGCCGAAATCGTATATAATAGGGTGGTTCCCATAAGGTGGCAAATAATTTCAGGGATAATTCTTTATTCAATTACCAGCAAAAATTGTAATTATAAGGGGGGTGGGGGTGGTTGGAGATGTGGCCGTTCTCGAGCTACATCCAGTTGAAAACAAATGTACTAGGTTTTTTCGAAACAAGGCGACACAGGTAACCATTGAGTGCTTGTTTTTTATTTTCGGTCTTACAATCAATTTGATTTGAGCCACAATCTTCGAGATAAAGCTCGTCAAAGTGAGAATTTTTTTTTTATTTCTGGATTTTTTTTTTAAATGTTAGAAATTTCTCACAAATTTGTGTTATCTTTTTTTCGATGCACTACAATGAGAGCTAAAGAATAACCCATGGAACATTTTCCTCTATCTCTTATAGTTTTACTAATCAACACGTTTTTAGTTTTTTAAAAACATGAGAAAAATGCAAATTTCACACATTTTATACTATGGAGATATTATAAAAAAAGTAATAATAATACCAATTTTCAGGATATTTCGAGTTTTTTAAAAGAAAATTCAACAAAAAAAAAAAAAAAACAAAAATTCAGATTTTGACGAGCTTTATCTCGAAACTATGACCCAGATCAAAATGATTGTAAGGCCGAAAATAAAGAATAATCAATCGCCTCTGAAACCAGTATCCAAAGGTTCTAAAGTTCTATGTTGCATGGTTCTAAAGTTATAAGCATTTATATTAATGCAAGAAAAATCAGGTATCTTTTTTTTCAACAGGCTGTAGCTCGAAAACAAGTACGTTATATCTGCACTCCCCACCCATAAAATTTTTTGTTGAAAATCGAACAAAGAGTCATACCTGAAATGATTTGTCACCTTATGCGAAACACCCTGTATAAGAAATTTGGATATAAACGAAAAAATTCCCTAAGTATCCCTGACATATAGAAATTACTGTAATATTATGCCAGAACAAAACATTTTATCAACCCTTTACTGTATATGGTATATAATAAAGTATAACTGTGGAATTCTAATGTCAGATCTTTCTTATATGGGTGGTTGTGCTTGTTTATAAGAAAAAAAATATGACATATACTAGCAACGAAGTATATGTATTGTAGGTCGAGGTGCCGACCCGATAAACAGGACTTGACTTTTAATATAGGAATGCTGAAAATAACTACGTTCCCAAATAATTAAATAAAACTACAAAATATTTATTTATCTTACAAAATTAAATCCGAGTGCACGCTCATACATAATGATGACACCAGAAAAAAAAAAAATAAAATAAATAAACAAATAAAACTTTTTTGCAACAATGCAAATTTTGTGCCTATCTTTTGCATAGGTTTGGTGTTTATGAAAATCTCTAATATTATTTTAGGAATATGCTACGTTCTTCTTGACATCCGTATTATTTCATACTGTATTTACTATATAGAATTCAGTTTATGCATGCTAATTAGTGAACTATATATATTGATACAGGATTACTACAATTTTTATGTCAGAAATATTCATTTCACATAATGTAATGTATGTATAAACAAAGCCAGTCAAAGTAATAAATGCGAAAGTTATATATAATATTCGATTCAAGTTAACATACATTATTTCGCAGATCCTTCAGACTGACTTTGATTATAGATGTATATCTATATACATATATATATTATATATATATACAATTATATACTCAATTAACTTTTTTTAATATTCTTAATTGTATGTACTTGTTTGTGATTTAAAAATTTTTGAAAATATAATTACAACTTTTAATATTAAAAATGGGCAATTTACCGACTTTGCTCTTTCGATTAGAAATAATTTAAAAATCTTAGGAACATTTACTGTGTTGCTATTATCATATAAATTAATTTATGCATCACAATCTTTAAACTTATTTGAAAATCCAATCACTATAATACAATCATTGAAAAAAAATTCAAACAAACACGATAAAAATGATAATTGCCGAACCCATATACGTACAATTCAAGTTATAAGTTCTATATTTACCGATCGCATTGTATGCAATAGAGAGTTTATTGTTGTTGAATTATGTACTGATGTTTTTTTTTTCCGAGAAGGAAAATTAAGACCTTCCACTTGATTTTAGATTCAAACGTCAGTTTTTACAGGTCATTAAAGTTAACTAGGCGGTGACCCTCTTGCCGTAGTTTTTGTTCATACTAAATATTGAAGCTTATTGATATTTATTGTTTATTTTTGTTGGTGTACAATATTATAAAAATTATAGAAATGTTATTAGAAATGTGGGCTATTACTTTAATATTAATATTTTATTTTATAATATTGCATAGTAAGCTTTATAATATTAAATATAACTTATTTATAGTGACCTTACCAGAGTTTCAAGGTGAAACCCTTTGGTTAGAGGACCAGTGCCATAAGCACTGCACATTGGTTTAGATATGTAGTGATGTGCATATGGTGTTAATCGCACACAATGTTTTATAAAATAACATAGTAAATGTTCCCAGAAATATATAATTATAATAGCGATATTATGGTATTTTCATCTTTAGATTTTTTTCATAAAAATAAGATAATTCAAAATGGCCCATCTTTAATTATAAAAAATACTAACCACCTTGTGTTAAATATTTATTGCCTCATTATTTTTCTTATTTGAGATCAGTGGATTACAGGAAAGGGAAAGCAAACGTGTGGAGGAGGGTAAAATACGTTGACTTTAAAAGGTGGTGTTATTCCTTATTTGTTAACAATAAAAGTGAAATTAATATTTAAAATAACAATTTGTTATTTAAAATTATATACAAAAGAAATTTTTTTTAAATTTTTCTTAGCATCCTAATTGACGCATATTATATTTTTACAATAAAAGTTGGTATATTTTTATCTCTTGGTTTCTCATTAGTTTTTAATAATATCTACATATAACCCACATTAAGTAGTATGTTTTCTTATTTTATTCATCTGGAAAAGTGAAACTATAAGAATATAAATTTAAATCTTCCTATGCGTTTTTCGGGTCTACTATATAGACCACAAAAAGAAATTTTAATTTTTATAATATAAAAAATATTTTATTTTTATACTGGTATTGAGTTTCAAAATCCAATTATAAGTAAATTTTAATTAAAAAATTCATTATAAATATGGAAACCCAGACTATATCGGAATTTCATTGATATACCTTAAATAATTCAAAAATTAGAATTCATAAACTGTATTGTACATGGGAATGCGCTGTACCTACTGCATTTCCAATTTCAGGAAAATTAATTTTCAATACATAGCCTTATTTCAATTTTATCTAAGTGTTCAGTTTCTTAAAATTGCAAGCAGTTTTCGTTATATGAAACAAGCAAACACAGAAACATGTCTGTTCGCTAATCGCAACTTTATTATGCAACTGAACGCTTCAGAAACTCGAACAATTTTTTGTAAAAAAAACAAAAAAAAATTAAAGACTCAAAGAAATTTTTTTATTATCAACTCTTTTTATTTTTAATTGAAAATTCATTTAATTTTATTTTTAAATTTTCTTTCTCTCTTAAATTTTTTAATTTAATACTTTTTATACTCAATAAAATTTATTTGTAGTTTTTTGAATATTTGATAATTAAATATAATTAGATAAACTAATATTATTCAATATACAACTTACCATCTTGTTCTTCATCGTAAACATCCTGTTCTTCTTCAAAACGAATTTTAGTTTCAGATGCTGTATCCTCATCCCTGCACACACAATAATATTTCATGTGTAATTAAAATGTGTTTTTATCAAAAAAAAAAAAAAATTAATATAAAAAATTTTAATTCGATTCTCAAATATTAAGATCACTTCTTTAAGATTAAAAAATGCGATGTTATTAAAAACTAATTCAGCAACTAAAAATTATAAGCTGAATTGTGTATATTAACCTTGACTTCCAAAATGTAGTAATACGGTATTAATACACAATTCACACTTATAAACTAAATTGTGTATTAATACCGTATTACTGTAATTTGGAATTCAAGGTAAATTTAGTATTATTGCAATTTAAAATCATTATTAAATGTCACAGAATAATTGTTCTAATTTTTACATTTTTTTAATAAAATTTTGAAACTAACAAATTTATTTCATCACCATCTCTTAAATCATCTTCATCTAAAATTTCCTCATCACTATCTAATATGGGTGTAGGACTATGAGATTTAGGTTTATTTTCTTCCTCCTATTTTTTTGTTTTTTCGAAATTTAAGTAAAAAAAAAATAAAAAAAAAATATAAATTTTATTGGTTATTTTTTTTTTTTAATTTTTGACATTAAGCCCGCTTACCGCTTCTTCTTTCTCAACCGTTGTCAATGAATCTGCATCAGCTAAATTATCGACAGCAATAGCCAAGAAAACGTTTAACAGGATATAATTACCGCAAATAAATAATATAATAAAATATACACATGCTAGAATACCAGTTGAATTAACACCACCATGAGCGCGTATACCATCGTACATAACAGCGTTCCAATCTTCACCAGTTAATATCTGAATATTTAAATAAGTATTTTTATATAATCAATTAAATTATTTAATATAAAGTTCTGGAAACTATGCTTTCGCATCCGAAAATGAATGAAATATAAAAGGAATGAAATAATTAAGTGAAATATACCTGAAATACTGTTAATAAACTTTGCCAAAAGCTATCAAAATTTGATCTTGGTTTCTCCTCGGTTTCGTTAAAAACAAATTTACCACCGAATACTTGCATTCCTAATAAAGCAAAAATTACAATGAATAAAAACAATAACAATAAAAGTGATGCAATCGATTGAATTGAATTTAATAATGATGCAACCAAATTTGATAATGAATGCCAATATCTGTAAAAAACGAAAAAGCAAATCATTAAAAAAATTATCGTAAGTTTATAAAATTACAATCCCTGATCTCAAAATTGCAATAATAACGCATATCGTGTTACTGCAACCGCAAACTCAGGGTGTATTTTATTATTTAATTTTAATGCATAAAATTACACCAATTACTTTATAAATAAACTTACTTTGTTACTTTAAAAACTCGAAGTAATCGAACACAACGCAAAACAGATACACCCAATGGTGGCATTATATGAGTTTTTGTTAATATCATTTCCGTTATACTACCGATTACCACAAAACAATCAAAACGATTAAATAATGATACAAAATACCCTTGAATACCTAAACTATACATTTTAAGAAGCATTTCCATTGTAAATAATGCAACGAAACAAATATTCGTAATTTCTGAAAAAAAAAGCAATAAATTTTTGTATTCAAATACCTTGTAATTTCGATTAAATTACAGTAGTACTACATTTACTACATATACAAAATTCAGCTTAGAAGTAAAATTCAATTATATACCTTGAAAATCATCTAGCCATGGTGGTTGCCGATAATGTTCTGTTGCTAGTACACCAGTATTTAAAAATACTAAAATAATAATTAACCAATAAAATGCTTGTGATTTAACTGCTTTACGACATGCACGTCTTAAACGTCTGTTAACACGATCCATATCTTTTTTTTTTTTAACAAACCATGATTCTTGTTTTTGTTCTAATGCTTCTAATTCACCTAATTGATCTTGTGAATCCATTTCATTTGGTTGTTTTACTTTACCATCTTGTAATATATTGCCCTCTGATTCAGGTTCAATATCTTCAGCTTGTGTTATCCAATCTAAATAACCTCTTAGATCTTCTTCAATTTGTTGTTTTTCACGTAATTTTTGAAAATCACCACGATTTTTAGCTTTTGTACGTTCTTTTGAAAATTCACCAGATAGGACACCAAGAATAAGATTCATAACAAAAAATGCACCTAATATAACCATTGAAATAAAATAAACCCATTGCCAAGTACCACCCATTGCATCTTGTATCTATATGAAACGGAGTTAATTTTTTAAATGAATTATTATATTTTTATATATGTAATTTACATGATATAATACATCAGTCCATCCTTCAAGTGTAACACACTGAAATACAGTTAACATTGCTAAACCAAAATTATCGAAATTCGTTATGCCCCAATTGGGTCCGTCCCAACCTGAATGACAAGTGTAGCCATCATCACATAATAGACCACCATCCCCACATGGTACAGCTTCATCCATAATTTCATCTAATTGAAAAAAAGTAAAAAAGATAAAAACAAATAAAAAAATAAATATTCAGCACGTAGAATAAATAAGCTGAATTCTATTTGTGTTGTAATAATTTTGAAAAAATTTGTGTTGTATATAAAATCCAACAAACCTGTTACATTATTATAACATGTCTTATGCATTTTCCCTGAAAATAATTCCAATCCTATAATCGCATAAATTATAATTACAAATAACACCAATAAAGCTATATGAAATAAAGGCACCATGGCACGAAGAATTGAATTAAGTACAACTTGTAGACCTTAAAAATAAATTTTTTTTCTTTAAAATTTTTAATAATTAAACTCAATATGTAAATTAAAAATATACTTGGCACTCCTGAAACCAATCGAAGTGGTCTTAGTACTCTAAATGCTCTTAAAGCTTTAACATCAAATCCTTCTCTCATAAAATTAGCTAATGCTGTGCTTACCATGCTATTATTTAAATATATGAAAATTAAACAGCAAAAGAAGAATATTATAATAAATACAATAAATATTACAATAATACATCTGATTTAAAATAATAACTATCAGTGTTACTACACAATTCAGGTTAAAAATATAATTCGCTGAATTGTATAATCAAAACAATATTATTACAATTTCAATGTTATGGCTTACCCTATTACAACAATAAAAAAATCTAACATATTCCAACCATTCCTTAAATATGCACCTTGATGTAAAACAAAACCATAAGCTATAATTTTCATAAAACATTCGGCCGTAAAAATTACTAAAAACACGTACTCAACTTTTTCCTGTAAATTTTTAAAAATTCAATAGATTAATTTCATTTTCATGTGCCTTGATTTCTAAATTGCAGTAATACGATACTAATACATAATTCAGCTTACGATATGTAATTGCTTAATTATGCATCGATATTATTAGTATTATTCCAATTTCGAAGTTATGGTAAAATATGTTAAAATATATATAAAATATATAAAAAAAACTTACCAAAATTGCATTTGTTATATTGGAATCACTATAAGGATATGGTGTATAAACAGCTAAGGCAACACAATTTGCAAATATTGTTAATAAAATTAAATATTCAAATGGTTTCCATTCAACAATATCAATACAAAATTTTCTAATCGGATTTTTTAATGTTAAAAAAAATAATGCTCTAGCCGGCCTTTCCGGTTGTGGTTTACCACCACGTCTTGCTGGTCTTTTTTGTGCTGTTGTACCTGTTTTTTGTCCGGTATTACCACTTTGTCCACCACCACCAGTACCATTTAATGTTTCTGGTATATTTGGACCATATAAACCTCCACCACCACCACCATTACTAATACCATCAATACCATCACCAATGTTCATACCTATATCTAAGTCACTATAACCACAACCAGTTCCACCGGTACCACCACTATTACTATAATTTCCTGTTCCTAATGTATCATTAATTCCACCACCATCACCATCATCCCCACTATCACCACCACCTCTACCACCTCCGCCGCTACTACCGTTACTACCAATCATACTGTTATTATTTTTTATTAAATTAACACTATTACTATTTAATTTTGAATTTATTATAAATGATGCTGGTGCAGTAGCTGTACTTATAGCAGCTGTTGCACTACTTAAAGATGTTTGCCATACACCTCTATATAATGAATTTGGACTATATTGAAAGTTATTATTATTAGTATTATTATTACGACGATGACGTCTACGAAAGAATGATAAACGTTTATTTGATTGATTGTTATTTATATTATTATAATTAATATTATTAACATCACCGCAATTATCTATATTATTATTATTAATTTTATTAATGCCACCACAATTTACATTATTATCAATAACACCAGTAAAATCTTTTAATGTTTGATTATAAATATAATTTAAATTATTTTGTTGTCTTTGATATTGTTGTTGCAGTTGTAGTTGATGTTGTTCTTGTTGCAATTTTTGATGTTGTTTTTTGAATTTTTGTTTATATTTTTTAATATTTTTTTTATCTACAAAACTATGATCATCAATATTATCGTCTTCTTCTTCTTCTTGTTTTATAATTTTATTTATTTTACCGGAGGACGGAAAATATTTTAATTTATTACTAATACCAAACCTATTTAATGTTTTATTTAATTTTTTATTTTTTCTTTTATTTAATCTGTCTTTATTAATTATTGTTTTTATTAAATTATTTTCACCAGTTTTTAATATTTTATTATTGAAATTAATTTCTTTTATATTTTGTTCGATTTTATAAATATTATTTTCGCCTTCTTCGTCTTCTTCGTCTATTTTTTCTTCTTCTTCTTCTTCTACTTCTTCTTCTTCGTCTTCTATTTCTTCTTCTTCTTCTTCTTCTTCTTCTTCTTCTTCTACTTCTTCTTCTATAATATATTCTTCTTCGTCATCAATTTCTCCTTCTTCTTCTCCTTCTTCAATATCAAATTCTTCATCATTGATATCAAAATCATATTCTTGTTCTTCTTCAATTAACTCTTCTTCTCCGTCGTCTTCTTCACCTTCAATTATTTCTTCATTACTTGTATCTTTTAATATAGCTTCTTCATCGTCATCTATTATATCATTATATTTTAATTTAATATCATCGTTATATTCATTTAATAAAATTTCGTTTATATTTTTATCGTATTTATTATAATCAATATTTGAAATATCATCATCATTATCATCAATTTCTTCATCATCATCATCATCATCATCATCACCATCCTCAATATCTCTATCTAATATAATATAAGTTTTATGTGATATATCATCAATATCAGTTAATGAAAATGGATTATCATCATTATTATCAGCACCAGTATTATTAATATTATTATATTTAATTAAATTATTTTTATTATTTATAATATTAAAATTTTTATTATTTATATTATCATTATTACCATTTAAACTAGATGTTAGACCACCAGTTGTTATTTCATCTTCTTCATCAGCTAATGGTACAATAAAATTTTTTGCATTTAATTCTTCTTCAAATAATTCATCAATTATTGATGATGAATCCTCTAAACTACTATTATTACATTCGAAAAAGCTATTACCTGTTTTACCAATACTATTATTACTATCGACATAAAAATTAGTGCAACTTGTACTTGGAAATCTAGATGATATAGATGATTTTAATGCACTTGTTGTTGTTGTTGTTGCTGTTGTTGTAATTATTGGATTTAATACTTTTGATATTAATTTTGATGATGTTGTTGTTACTCCTGTTGTTGTAATTGGTAATATGGAACTTAGTGTTGTTGTTTCTGATATTGTTGTTGCTGCTGTTGTTTTAATTGCTGATTGTAATTTATGTAATTGAGCTTCATTTAATTTTAATATATTTGTTGCTAATTCATGAGAATGAACTGTTGTTGTAACTGCTGTTGTTGCAGCAGTACTCGTTTGAGGAACTGTTTTTAAATTTGTAGTACCTATAAAATAGAAAATAAAAATAAAGAAAAATATATATTTTTATATTAATTATAATTTTATAATATAATTTTTATATAAAAGAATTTTAATTGTTAAACGAAATATGTATTTTGCTAAATTAAATTCATGCCAAATTCGAACACACGTATGTGGTTATAGTAATTCATAATATTCAATTAAAATATAAAATATTTTTGTTGAATGCATCAATAAATGAATACAACAGTGATTCAAACGATTACTTTTGATTTTGCATTTGACGCACTGGTAAAAACGAAAAAAGTTTCTGGTTATAATACCTTAATTTTAACACCTTTATGACAGCGAAATATAAATTATTTACAATTTAATTTTTTTAAATTTTTTTTTTTAATTTAAAATTTTTACTTTACCAAAAATATCACAATAAATAAAATTTTAAAGTGGTGTTTTTTTTTATCATTAATTTTTAAAATTCTATGTTTATAGTTTTATAAAATTAATTAATACTTTTTAAATTAATTTCATTGCTTCGATTTTAAAATTCAAATATTTTTAACATCCTGTTATAAAATATCCTGCCGCACACGACAGCACAGTGATAGCACAAACTATTGTGCGATAACAAAATGTTATTTTTTTTTTTCTTTTAAATTTCCTCTTTCATTTTGTTTACCTTTATGATGTTTTGATGACATTTTACGTAAATTTTGTTTTTTATGTTGCTGTTGTTCTTGCTGTTTTTTTATTTGTTTTTCTTGTTGTTTTCTTAAATAATTAATTTTAGTATTTGAAAATTCTTGTTGTTTCTCTTGTTGCGTTCTTTTAATTTTTCTTGTATCATTATCAATACTATTGTTTGATAAATTTTTATATAAAAAGTAATCATCATCAACATCATCATCATCATCATCATCATCATCATCATCATCATTATCATCAACACTTGCTTTTGCTACTTTAACTGGTTTTATTATCATTTTATTCGTGTTTGCTGTTGTTGATACTATTGCTGTATCATCATTTTCAATACTACTATTTTCTAATGTTCCTTTTATCTTAGTTGATTGTGTTGTTGTTGTTGATGGTTTTTTTATTATTTTTTTATTATTATCACTAGTATTACTACTATCAAAATAATTTTCTTTGGCAAACGAACTACTAAATGTTGTACTACTTGTACTATTTGTAATAAAGGTTGTTGTTTTTGCAGTTACTTTTGCATTTGTTGTTGTTGTTGTGTCATCATCATCATCATTATCAAAAACATTATCATTAATTAAATTAGTATCACCCTTATTATCATCAACTATAACATTATCATTGTCATTAGTTTTAGATGATTTCTTTTGTTTTTTAGTTTTAATAAAATTATTTTTTGAAATTTGGCATTTAATATCATTATTATTATCAATATTATTATTAGTATTATTAATATTATTATTGTTATTATTATTTAAATTTACAATATTGTTATTACTTTTTCTTTTATTATAATCATAATTACAAAAACCATTAAAACTATAACGTTTTTTTGTTAAATTTAATGATGATTTTATACGTTTATTAATATTTTTTGTTGATGTAGTTGCTATTGGTACTGGCGGAGTTGCTGTTGTGGTGGTGGTAGTAGTTGATGATACTGTTTCTGTTAATATTGATGCTGCTATTGATGTTGTTGTTGTAGACGCTGTTGTTTGTGTTTTACTGTCATTAATTATATTTGTATAATTTTCTAAATTAGAATTATCATTTGTTACAGTTACTGAACTATTTAATTTTTTTACTAGCATTTTTTCAGACTTATCTTTTAAATTTCTATTTTTAACTGATTTATTTTTATTGATTTTGTCTATATGTATATCTACCATATCATTACTTGTTGCAGACGTGCTGGTAGTTGATGTGGTGGAAGCTGTTGTAAAAGAAACGTTTGTTCCTAAAATAGTACTAGTTGTAATATTAGTAGTATTTACGATAGATGTTGATTGTAAAGATGTAGATGACTGTGGGTGTAATGGTAGTATCGAAGATGAAATTTTAAATTTACTAATTTTGAACGGAATATTATCAAATTTTAGTTTATTATAATTTAAATTGTGGTCCTCACTTTTTTGTTTTTTTATTATATTTTTATCTGAATATTGTTGTAGCTGCTGCTGTTGTGATTGTTGGAACTTTTTTTGATTTTGTTCTTGATCATAATATGTTTTTGATGAGGAAGGGAATGATTCAGTTTTTTTAATTATTTTACTATTATTTTCTGCTAAAGGTAGTGATGCTACTGATGATTTTGTTTCAGGAATTTCAAATGATTTTGTTGTTGTTGGCAAAATTTTTATTTGTTTTAATCTTAATGGATCTTTAGATAAAGTTTTGCTTTTTTTCTTTTTACGAATTTTCCTAATTTTAATATTTTCTTCAATATCATCATCCAATTCATCCTTATTATCATTTTTTTGATCTTTTGTTGTTGTAACAGTAGAAAATGTATTTTGTTTTTTTCTTCTCTTTTCGTGTTTTTCATTTTCCTGTTCTGAGTTTTTGTTTTTTTCTTCGGTAATTTTTGATTTATCGAATTTTTTATTGAATTGATTTGTTGCTGAGGCATTTTTAGTTTCCGACGATAACGATGTAGATGAAGATGATAATGACAAATTTTTTGTTGCTGATGTTGGAATTGTAATTGTTTCTGATATTTTTTTTGTTTGTACTGTTGATAATGACGATGATGTTGTTGGAATTGCAGATATTGACGTTGTTGATGTCGATGCTGTTGCTGTAGCTGTTGATGTTGTTGTAATTGTTGTAACTGTTGTAGGAGGAGTTGAATTGGAATTGTTAATATTGTTGCTGTTATTAGCGTTACCGCTTTCCACAGCCGATTGTAAATGAGCGTTATACGAATGAAGCTCATACTGGTCCCCTGTTTTAACAAAAACAAAAAAAAAAGAAATTGATCATTATTTATAAAATTTTGCAATTTTATATTTTATAAAAATATTGAAAAAAAAATAATTAGCTTCTTTAAAAAGTAATTTATTAATTTTTTAGAGGCTTTTGCACGATATAAAGAAATTATGCGAAGGACATTTTAATTTTCAGTTTTTCTTAGTGATGACTGGAAACCCGATGTTCAAGTTTCCAATTTTTATTATAGAGCATGACTTGCACCGGAGGCGAAGCTAATCATCTACCTAGTTAAAGTACAATGACGTACGAATCTAGGACATTAGCCATCTTTAATTTCTATCATATATAAGCCTTATATCCCTCCTAGGAAGGGTGTTCAAAAAAATACGCTCTGATTTAAAAAAACCCAGTAATACGGTATTCAACCTATAGGGTTTAATTGCTGAACTACGCAGCAAATTACAACAAAAGAAAATATACCTATAATTTTAAAGTCAGAATCCTCTAAATTTTGAAATTAAAATTTTTGATGTGAAAATTTCTGCTAAAATTTGTAAAATACTTACTAGACTTTGACATTTGACACTGGTTTATTAAAAAAGAAGTAAATTTTTCCCAATCGATTTCTCCTTGTTTTAATTTTAGGTATAAATTCTGTTTTATATAAATAAATTTATTCAAAATAACATATTTTATATATTTTTATATAGAAAAAAACTAATTTTTAAAAACAATTTGTTTCATCTATTTTTTTATATTTATTTTAACGAAACTACAAAGTCAGTTTTCTTTTTCTATTAAAATACTCAAAATTCGTTTTTAAAATTTCTAAAAAAATTTGAATGGACACTTTTTTTGCATTTCTGTAAAATAAAAATTTTTAATTGCACTTTAACTTTATAACCTAATTAATTGTATTATATAAAATTTTTATTTTTTCAAAAAATTAAACCTGGCATCAAAATTGCAAGAATATGGTACCGTTCCTTTTAGCTAAATTTTATGAAAAAACAGTACCCAAAACTCAAAACCTATGTGTCCAACTAGGACTCTTTTTTCTTCTGGGAAAATATAATGAAAATTCCCTCATACAAATACAGAACAGAACGAGTAAAGGTAGAAAAATTAAAAAGTTTTTATTCTCTAAGCAATGACCTACCGACCAAAGACAGTTGAATCGATTACATGTAAACACGACGATTACTGCATAAAACAAAGTGAAGAACGATTTGCTGATAATTTCTTCATACCTGTTTAGTTGGTAGAGCGTCCTTCTAGAGAGCGATAGGTCACGAGTTATAGTCCAATTTTAGCTTAGAACACAAACAGCATTGTTTAACATTGTTTCAGAAATGCAATCAGAATTCTGTATGAACTTGGTGTCCAGAACTCAATTAGTTCAGAAGCTATTTGTCTGATAGAAAACAATTTGCAGAATGTGGGAATATAAATAGTGATGTATGGGATATTAATATAACAAGGAAGTAGTCTGCTTTATCATCTTCACGCATTCTTAAACAGAACATAAAGCACGACTTTGAAATAATCAAAGGATGGATGTGTAAGCATGAAATAAATATAAATGCAGATAAAACAAAATATCCAATATTTAAGGAAAAGACTGACGTATACTAAATATACAAATTGAAAATAGTAAATTAGAAAACAAATATTTAGGAATAAACACTAAACAAAACTCGACGAATAGCTAAGATTTTCAATGAGGTTATGTGTTGGCACCAAATTTTGGATTTCGAATTTTCGGTGGTAACGCACTCTTATATAGTAGGGAAGCGTAAATAAACTACTTTTAGAGAAATTTCGGGTCTGTCAGTCTGTTGGTCTGTGTGTGCACGCATGTATCTCAAGTTCGGCTGAACAAATTTTGATGAAATTTTATATGTGAGTTTATTTTGGTTATGATACGGATTGATCAACTTTTGGGATATATCAGACCTCTGGAACTGAACCTCATTGTGGGCCAATTTCACATCTTTAAATTTTTTGGAAATATCAAGGCTCCGAAACCAAATTGGAAACCGATTTTACATGTTTTACCATATGTACGGAACGAATTGATGCAATTTCTGGAAATTTAATATTTGGGTTCTGGCTGTTACCGAAACTAATTTTTCAGGGGATTCGGGTGGCACAAAGCGAAATTCTACCGAGAGCCAAATTTACATTCTTCTAAGCTAAAAGCTTGCTAACTTCCATAAAATTGAAAGAAAGTGTTTCACCACATCAGATTTTTTTCATCATATACACTTAATAATCATATATTTATACAATATATAATAGGCATATACTTTAATTATTATTATTAAACACAATTGTAAATACGTTTATATATACTTTTACTTTCCAAATATTAAAATATCTTTAATATTTGAAAATAGATTTAATATCTTTAATGATATTAAAAGACTTAATATATTAAAAGATTCAATTTGATATTAATTATTAAAATTACAGTAAAATTCACACATATATTAGTTGTATGTATGTATATATATTTCTTGAAAAATTAGTGTCAAAAAACTTAAAAAAGTCATTTCGATTTTAATAATAGTAAATGTGAATCGATAGAACTTAGATAATAACCCCAGCCCCCCCCCCATATTTTTGATTAATTCTATAGTTAGTAATCGAAATTCTGATTAGAAAATACGAAATTTTTTATTACCTATCCAGATCTGTGGTAATAAAGCTATAATTGAAAAATTTTGAAACACTCTTCTATTAGGTACACTTAAAAATTTTGTTGTGGGTTCAAACAGAGAATCCTTGAATAGTACAGTAAAACTGTATTACTATAAATTGTTTATTAATATCGTATTATTGCAATTTTGAAGTCAGAGTCTATTTCTAAAAAATTTTATAATCCCTTAAATTTTTAATAAAATCTCTATACACATAAAATCTTGCTATAAATTTTTTAAATCGATAGAGAAAAGTTGAAAATTTCAAGTATATTGAGGATTTTTTATGAAAATTTAAACCATGAATTCAATTTAAACAAACTTCAAGAGTTATTAATTAGCCTAGCCTAGCTGTTGTATAGTAAACAATTTAATTTAATTATTTTATATTTTGAGATTAAGTCACTTTAAACTTAAGGGTATTCCGATACACACACAAAAAACACATATATATACACGTATAACGTTTTCAAAATATCCTCTTGTATCCTTATTTTTGTTTTATCGTAGTAGGTATATAAAATTTTTAAAATTTTAATTTTTTTTTTAATTATTCAATATTTTATTTTTGTTTTTCTTTTATTCCTTGAATATTAAATTATTAAAAACAAAAAAAAATTTGATTAATAAAATTTTAAATTCTCAAATTTCGATCGAAAAAAAAAACAGAAAAATAGAAAAAAAAAATCTATTTATTTATTTATTAAATTTTTTTATAGTTTTAATTTTTTGCTTTTTTTCTTTTATTTTTTGGAAACTGTAAAAATGTTGTTTTTATGAAACGGAATAAAAACAAAAGAGAAAAACGAATTAAATCGCAGTTCGTTTTTTCATTTCTTTTTTCTTTCTCTCTCTTTCTCTTTTCCGTTTTCTACATTACATTATGCCGCGCCGCGCTCCGCTCTCAATATCCTGCTGATGTCGTAGTTTTTTGTCGTTCGATATCGCGTCGTCGTCGTCTTTGTCTTCTTCGTCTTTTGCGGTCGGTGGTTATAGAAACAAAAATTAAGTTTGATTTAGTTTTTTTTTTTTGTAATAATCTAATTGTTAAAAAAATCAGTAATTTTTTTTTTGTATAGTTTAAATGACCAATTAAATATTATTGGATAATTTTTTCTCTTTTTTTTTGTTATTTTTTAATATTTTCATATTTCTATTTGTTAAAAATTTTTATTTCCACTTGCACACGTTTCATTTTATTTTTTTTTATTGGTTTCAACTTTTCTCAATTTCATTATTATTTAACGTTTTTTTTTTTCATTTTTTTATTATTATTTTTTTAAAAATAATTAATTATGGTTATTTGTGAATGAGTGTTTTTTCCTCTTCAAATATTTTAGAAATAAAAACAACAACAATTTTAATGTTTTCCTTTAAAAAAATATCCTTTTTTTGCTCTCTCTTTTTACCGACCACATTGTATACAATAAAAATGGGAGGTTATGTGATGACATCAAATTTCACATGTCAAGTTTTTAAACGGAAATTGAATTTATCTATTGTAAGAAAATATAATCCAATTTTAAAATAGATGTTGATCTGTTGGGTGTGTGTATTGTACTCGTGTGTTTTAATTTCAGTAGAATAAATTTTGATGATGAAAATTTTTAAGTCCAACTTAAGGAGATGGAGACGTTCACGATGGGTCGATTTTTACATTTTTGAGCATTTAAAACAGAAAATATTAAACAAGATTTACTTAAAATTTTATATAAATAAATAATATGAAATTTTGAGGAAATCTATATACATATATATATACATAAATTGTCCGCCTAACAATATACGACAGGTCAATCAAAAGGATTGCTAATACTAGCTTTTTTAAAATTTTTTAATGAGTATTTAAAGGAAATTCTTATAAAGTACTGAGCAATTCCTTTAAAATTTAAAAGGATTTTATCGTTCGCTCAACGAATAAGAAATCTTTAAATTGATTTATTCTAATATTTCTCAATATTATTATATAGAAAATTTTCTTGCAATCAGTTAGGTATTGTTTTTACATCAGATTTTTTCTTTCGTTTGGTTATTATTAATATTTTCATTTTATCTTTATTATTTGTTGTTTTTATTCTTATTATTTTTTTACATCATATTATGTATGTGTATGCATGTTATGAAAATCCTGAATAACTATAGTGCTGCCATACCCAAAAATATATAGAGAATATCGCCGTATCTTTCAAGAAATTTTAATGGCAAATTAAGTAAATACACTCAAATACAATTTTTAATATATTACGCATATTGAGTAAGTCAAAATTTATATAAAAATATTAAATACATAGTTTCTCGACATAAAATTTTGTCAAAAATTAAATTATTGTAAAATAAAGTTTTCATTTCACGAATTAAATATGTTTAAGAAGAAAAAATTTTAAATAATTTAACAAAAAATGTTGATAGAAAGAGAAAAAGAGAAAGAGAAATAGAAAGAGACATAAAAACAAAAATAAATAAGAGAAATAGTAAAAGTGTACTGGGAAAGGATACGAATTTTGGATTTGTTTGTTTCTTTTCTCACTGAGAAAAATTTTTTTTTTTAAATTAGATATTTTTTTAAAGAGAACAGACTAAAAACTATATCCGAAATCACGACAACCATACTTTATAGATAATTTTCACATAAATATGTTTTCTCCCTTTCCCTTTATTTTTAGTTTGAATATAATTCGAAATAGTTTTATAAATAAACTGTTTTCAAATTAGTTCGCCTTTTGAGCCGTTTATGAATATTAAATTATCTATTTGAATATTAAATTATCTACAAATTCAAAATATGAGCTACATTTTAGTCAAATTCAAAATATTTTTCGAGAAATTGAGAAATATTTATGCCACATTACAGATAAATTCTTTTTAGTAATAGTTAGTAATGCTGTTATTTGAATTCCAATTACTGTCTTCATCAAAACATTTTTTATTCAGCTACATATATTTTATTTTTAAAATCAAAAAGAGCTATTTATATATTATGTACCTTTATAACAACATTCACATATCATAATTGGACCATCAACGAAATTGCTATATATTATATTCCTTTTAATTATTTATGGATAATGATTTTATCCACATAATTATTGAAATAATTTTAACGTGTTTTACTAAAAGATGTATTGAAATATGTTTATGTTATATATATATATATTAACATTGTTTCTGCTTTGAGTAAAAATTTTATTGAAAACTATGAATTTCAAAATGGTTTATGACTACTTTAGATATGCGTATTTTTTTCAGTGCAATTATTGAAATCTCCCAAAATAACAAAATAACATCACTTGTCCATAAACTTAAAAGGATTTAAGAGAATTCAGATAGAACTATTTCTATTGGTAAGAACTATATATATATAAAAGTCAGAGTTCAATAATAATTATGGATATCGATTTTTCCAATATCCAAAATATTAAAGGTATTATGCACAGTTATGTAATTACATTGTCTCTCAAATTATTTCTGATTGGGCGCCAGTTATTACATTTGCTAATGTTTTATTATTTTAATGTTTAAACTACATACGAGGAAGGTAGCAGAATAATTATGGTTCATATTTTTAACAGAATAAAAATATCATTAAGATTCTTTTATTTTGCATTGTTAATCAAACTGCATTTAACAAATATAAGGTGAGGCTGGCCTTAGTCACGGTTAAAACATTATAATAAAGAAAATAGGATATAAAAATAAATTATATTACGGATTTTATAACAAAAATGGTATTTTATATTCAAAATCCTAGTTTTTTCATTTTTGTCAAATCAACTAACATCAAATAATCAACCAATTTCATTGAAATTTAATATTTAAATTCGGCGTGTTGAAGCAATATATCCATAAATTTTGTTAGAAAAATCAGGGAAAGCGAACTGGTTGCCGATGTAACATTTTTTATCATATATACGGAACGGATTGATGGAATTTCTTGAAATTTGATATTTGAGATCTGATTATCATCGAAACTAACTCGTGAATTTCTCAGGGGATTCAGGTGGCACAAAGCGCAATTCTACTAAAACCTAAATTTACACTTTGCTAGGTATGTTAACTAAATGCTAGCTAACTTCCTTAAAATTGAAAGGGAGTGTTCAAAATGCATTTTCATAATCTTCTGTAACATTTTCACTAAACAGGACAACATATATTGCGGTCGATTATCTGCTGATCACACCAGATTTTTTTTATATAGAATCATATTATTAAGGCGTGATCGCCTATTTCGGTATTTTACGCGGAAAGTGAGAAGAAAATGAGTAACTATCATATACTTGTATATAATGTAATTTTCGAGTTAGAAAAATTATTCCGTTTGCGTAACTCGTTTTTTCTTAAACTGTACTCGTATACAAAAGTTTTTCACTTTGTTTTTGAAAGTGAAACATTCAGTCGATAATTTGAGAAGAAATGCGAATATCCAATTAAAAAATGAGTAATCTTATTGGAAAAGTGAAACATCCATTAAAAAATACTAAGAATTCTGATCTGAAAGTGAATAAAAAGTTAGAAGTGATATAAGAATAAATACACGATTAGGCTGTTATTTATTATTGTTTAATAGGAACAGGGTGTGTAAATTAAAAAAAAATTTTCTGAAATCAAAAAAATTTCATTTTTTAGATGATAAAATTTTCATGTTTAGAGAAGATTTTTTTGAAAATACATGAAATGTGCTAAAATGTGAACCGTGAATAAATATATTATTAATATAAACATAGCACATTTCTTTAATTAATTATAAGTATATAAGCTGAATTGTATTATATCACTAACTCTGCTTGAAAAAATGACATAAGTGGAATAAGATCAGAAAAGACTTTCCGAAAATAGGTAAATTTCACATAAACTTATACTTATATGCACGAACAGTCGCATAAGGTTGCAAATAATTCCAATCCAAGAATAATTTTTTGTTTAATTTTAATGATTAGGAAGATGAGAGCGAGTTGAAGCTTGCTGATTTGATTCTTTCTAAATTGCAAATTATGTTGAAAAAAATTGGTTTCAAGACTTTTCCTACCTATGCAAGTAAATATTATATACGTTATATATTCGAAGCCGTTGAACATATACATTTAAAATAACTAATAAAGGAATTTGTTTCTCAAGTAATTTTAAAAGCTCTTACAATTTCATACCTTTAAATCGACGAATTTATAATTCAAATGAAATTTAGGCAATAAATACGCTATTAAGAATACTAAATTTTTTAAAACTATTCATTCTGTTATACAGATAACAGGAATAAAAGAAAACTAAGTCAAAAAATAAAAAAAAAAAAAAACAATATAAATTTACTTTAATTTTGTATATATAAAATGTATGTGTAAATCATTTATTTACATATGTACATATCCATTTAAGTATATACATATGTATAGGTATAACAGTAAAAGTAACGCTTAATTTATAAAATTAATTGCAGTTTTTTTCCAGTTCAATTCAATAATTCGAAATATTTAAAAAAAAAGAAAACAAAAAAATGCTTACCGTGCTCATGGTTCCGTTATAATGGTTAAAATTTCCTTTATGCCATACTACAAGTGTTATAATCGCTTTATTTTAAGTTGTTTTTCTTTTTTTTTCTTCATTGAAGTTTCTTTTTATTTATTGTTCAGTTATTCATTATTCAATTAATTTATTTATTATTTAAATTATTTATATATGTATGTAATTCGATTATTATAAAGCATTTTATTATGAAACTGTTGTATTCATTTCATGTGTAACATGATTTGGCAATTAAAATACAATCTTAATTTTTTTTGTTTTGATTCTAAATAATTAAAAAGAGTAATTTTTATTTATAAGCTGAACTGCATAATTAATACCATAATTACTGCAAATTGCAATAAAAATTATTCAAAGCTGCTCAACCTTTACAATCACTTATTGGGTGCAATTAAACGAATTCGCTAGCGATATTCTTTCATTTGATTTACCCACTCATATTTCGTACATTTGTAAGCTATACATGCACGACACATGACTATGAGTAAAAATTAACGTCTCAAATTTGCATTCAGCTTACATTAAGCTTAAATTAAGTTATAAAATTTATCGAATTAATTTTTTAACTTAAACAGGGAGTAAAAATAAATCAGAAACTTGAAAATGCTGCAAATTGCTGAACCATGAATAAATATATTAATATCACCATAGCACAATTCATTAATTAATATTATAAATATATAAGCTGAATTGTATTA